TGCAGCACTCATTGCTTTATGCTAACTAAATGCAAGTTGATAATGTTAACCAAATGCAAAATTATTAAAAAAGTATTTTTATTCAAAAAAAATTTAAAGTCTTTGCATAAGAATCGATAGGACATAAGCACCATTGAGATTACTAAGGTAAACATATACCTCTTCAGGAATCAAGAAACATTTTTTTTATTTTTACCGTTTTTTAATATACCTCAAGGCGTGGTGACTTTGAAAATATCAGTGACCTTGAAAATATCAGATATAACTTCAAAATATCTTGCAAACGCCAAAAATTTAAAGCGGTACGTTTTCTAAATACAGGTTTTAGCCACACATCTATATTCGGGTTCAAAAATTTCCCGATATCTCAAGAAGTTATGAACGTAAAATTCAGCTATGACTTATTTTGTTTGTTAAAAGTGTGGCTATAAATAGTATCATTACTGACATAAAATCAAATACATTTTTTTCTAAGAAATAATCAACTTTCAAAGTAAAATTTCGGAATATTTTTCTCGTTCTTTTTAATTTTTGTCTAAAAATTTAGAAGCCTGATCGAAAAAATAACTCTCCTATTATATTCAGCGGCCTGAGGGATTAAGCGTGCGCACGGATTGAAGCACGAGTAGCTTTAAGTAAAACTAAAATGAACCTCTAAATTTGATTATTTTTTAAAACAAAGTTATGTACTTAAATTTTTAAGCAAGAGGAACACAATTTTGCGTGAGCACTGAATAATATTAAAAAGAGGGATTTCTTGGACCACTTTAATACACATGTAATCATAAGTGGGCATGGCTAAGCCCATTTTTAAAAAATTTATAATATTCTTACTTTCTCCCAAGAGATGATTGTAAATATCAATTTTGAATGAATAAGTTTAAGTTCAGTAGTTACTAAAATATCGCAGTTTCCGTATTTCATTACCATCTGTCCTTGGCTCAAAAGAAGCATACATACCAAGTTTCGTTAAGATATCTCCATTTTTACTCGAGTTATGGTGTGCACAGACGGACGGAAGACAGTCACGGCTTAATGGATTTCTTTTTATCATTCTGAGCATTTATGTATACATTTGTCTATTACCTTGTTTATATGGCATAAAACGCGGTATCGAATTAACTCGTGTCAGTGAAGCTCGCTAAAAATGCAACTGCTTACATATATGCAACAAAATAAATGAGTCGATCGAACACACTTTCAAACAGAGTTCATCCTGATGTAACACTATTAATTCATGTATCAATTCTTGAAAGTAATAAACATTAATTAAAGACTCAAATAGCCACGAAAAAAGGATATTATTTATTAATTTTACAACAAAGCTTAGCCTTAACGTAATTTCAAGGAATATTTAAATGTCTTACTTCATACAGAGTCGCATGAAACAATCGTGTGGGCAAATCCTGTGATTATATTCACTATTAACACGATTCAATAACTCTTAACTCATATTAAAAATGTGATTTATGGTGGCACGGTTAAAAGTATCAATTCGATTTAAGAATGCGTTTTCATGTGTCTGTCTGAATAACACGGTTTGACCTAGAACGAATTCATGACGCAATAATACAAGGTGTTATCGGTTTGCAACTTGTCGCTCTAATTCCACCATATTGACTGCCATAGCTGAAACAGCGTTACTTCTTTAACAATTCTTTGTTTAATAATATAGTTGATTTTTTTTTTTTTTCTCTGTATACACATATCGTTTTCTCAAAAAGTATGTTATTTTATTTCATTTCATTACGAATATACCATAAAAAAGCTAATTTTGTTTAGAAGAAAATATGAAATCTTATATTTTTCCCACAAATGGGGATTCATTTCTTCCCGGTTTTCTTCTTATTCTACTGAGCTAAGGCAGTGTCAAATCGAGCTGTCAAACTGATACCACCTTGTATTAGCTCTGATCCAGTACTCCATGAACTTACAGGATTCTACACGAACTTGCAGGAAGTTGCAGGAAAAATGTTCCCGGACTCCAAAATCCTGTAAATGAGAGCGACTTTTGGAGAGTTGTGTATAGAATGAAGTTGCAAGGTTTTGCCCGAACTTTTTCTTCTGGTAAAATCATGAGAAGTGTCAAGCTATCACTGGTTGACGTTTTTACAGGAGAAATGGTTTTTTTGTTCCCGTACTTTTTGTTGTTACTCACTTTTTACTCTTACTTCAGAGAGTAATTTTGCTGTTTGACAGTTTTACAGGATTTTTCACGAAAAGTATTGGATCAGAGCTATTATTGCATCATGGAACGAATTGAAGCGTCATATAAACATGGTATGTATCTATCTCGATTCGTTTTCTTCTTATTAATTGGCGCTGTAACCGCCTAAGCGATTTTGGCCGAGTCCAAAACAGCACGCCAGTCATTTCTCTTCTGTGCTAACTGACGCCAATTGAAAATGCCAAGTGAAGCCAAGTCCTTCTCCACCTGGTCTTTCCAACGCAGAGGAGGCCTTCCTCTTCCTCTGTTACCAGCATCGCGGCCCGCGTTGAATATTTTCAGAGCAGGAGCGTTTCTGTCCATCCGAACGACATGGCCAAGCCAGCGGAGCCGCTGAATTTTAATTCGCTGCACTATGTCTATATCGTTGTAAAGCTCATACAGCTCATCGTTAAATCGTCTGCGATATTCGCCATCACCAACGCGTAAAGGTCCGTAAATCTTTCGCAGAATCTTTCTCTCGAAAACTCCAAGAGCCGCCTCATCAGATGCTTTCATTGTCCATGCTTCCGCGCCATACACCAGCACAGGCATGATGAGTGACTTATAGAGTGTGATCTTTGTACGACGAGAGAGGACTTTACTTCTCAATTGCCTACTCAGCCCAAAGTAGCACTTGTTGGCAAGAGTGATTCTCCGTTGGATTTCAAGGCTGACATTATTATTGGTGTTAATGCTGGTTCCCAAATAAACGAAGTCGTCTACTTTTTCAAACTTGTAACTGTCAACAGTGACGTGGGTGCCAAGACGCGTATGCTCTGACTGTTTGTGTGCTGACAGGAGATACTTCGTTTTGTCCTCGTTCACCACCAGACCCATTCGCTTTGCTTCTCTATCCAATCCCGAGAAGGCAGAACAGACGTAGCCCTTGTTTTTACCGATAATATCGATGTCGTCGGCATACGCCAGCAATTGTACGCTCTTATAAAGTATTGTGCCTGAGCGGTTCAGTTCTGCGGCTCTTATTATCTTCTCCAACATAAGATTAAAGAAATCACACGAAAGGGAGTCCCCTTGTCTGAAACCTCGTTTGGTATCAAACGGCTCGGAGAGGTCCTTCCCTATTCTGACGGAGCTGGTGGTATTGCTCAACGTCATTTTACACAGCCGTATTAGTTTCGCGGGGATACCAAATTCAGACATCGCGGCATAAAGGCAACTTCTCTTCGTGCTGTCGAAAGCGGCTTTGAAATCGACAAATAGATGGTGTGTGTCGATCCTATTCTCGCGGGTCTTTTCCAAGATTTGGCGTATTGTGAATACCTGATCTATGGTGGATTTTCCAGGCCTAAAGCCACACTGATAAGGTCCAATCAGCTCGTTGACGGTGGGCTTCAGTCTTTCGCACAATACGCTCGATAAGACCTTGTAACCTATGCTTAGAAGGCTAATTCCGCGGTAGTTGGCGCGTATGGCGGGGTCGCCTTTCTTGTGGATTGGGCAGAGCACACTTAAATTCCAGTCGTCGGGCATGCGTTCATCTGACCATATTCTGCATACGAGCTGATGCATGCACCTCATCAGCTCCTCGCCACCGTACTTGAATAGCTCGGCTGGCAGGCCGTCAGCTCCAGCAGCTTTGTTGTTTTTCAGCCGCGTAATCGCTATACGTACCTCGTCATAGTCAGGCGGTGGGACAGCTACTCCATCATCATCGACTGGGGACTCGGGTTCGTCTTCCTCACTACTTTCAGCGCTGCTACCATTCAGTAGGTTATAAAAGTGTTCCCTCCACAATTTAAGTATATTCTGGACATCGGTCACTAGGTCGCCATTGTTGTTCTTACAGGAGTTCGCCCCGGTCTTGAAACCTTCCGTAAGTCGCCTAACCCTCTGGTAGAATTTTCGGGCGTTCTTCCTGTCGGCCAGCATCTCAAGCTCTTCGCACTCACGTATTTCGGCCTCTCTCTTCTTATTGCGGCAAATACGTCTCGCTTCCTTCTTCAGTTCCCTATAACGGTCCCACATGGCTCGCGTTGCGCCCGATCGCAGCGTGGCCCTGTAGGCGGCATCTTTTTTCTCTGCGGCTTCTTGACATTCCTCATCGTACCAGTTGTTCTTTCGGGCTCGCTGAAATCCAACTACTTCTTCGGCGGCGGTACTTAATGATCGGGAAATGTGGTTCCACTGCTCGCGTACGTTGGATTGTTGAAGAGTGCTCTCAGAGAGCAGGTGTGTGAGTCGAGTGGCGAATAAATTGGTAGTCTGTTGTGATTGCAGCTTTTCGACGTTAAGCTATCCTTGCATTGTTGGGCGCACATTTTTTGCTGCACAGAGACGGGTGCGTATCTTGGCTACAACGGGTGCGTATCTTGGCTATCTCGATTCGTTTTGGCGGTTACAAATAACCGTTATGTGAACAAAGTTGTAATACCCTTGTGTACATGTGTAATCGGTGTATAAAAATATTGTAAAAAACCGATTAAGCTGCTTTACCTTCCTGAAATACTCTCCTAATCAGTGTTCCAAATCGCTGGGAACAGATTAAACTTTTTTTCGCCCATAAATCGTGATACGGTCTAATATGCATAAATACTCTTATACATATTACATACGTTTATATCCATATTTTAAAAGCCACTGAAATAGAATAACAATCTAAAATAGATTCCTCTCTTAAAAACGTAGTTTTTATTGGTGACACAATTTTATATAATCATAAAAATTGGTGAATTATCGTCAGAAATTGGATGAAAGTGTTGACGTTCGTTAGCACGCAATTGAGAAAATCGCATCAGAAGTTCAATGAGTTGGCCCCGATTTGCGACATGCAATACATGCGGACCGTATAAAATGGTGCGACATTGCCTTGTGGTCGTTAGTTACAGTTTGTATTATCACCTAAAACTTTTTTGACAAAATTTTCCGGTGCAAACAATTTTTTATGATGTTATACTTACGGCGAAATATTTTATTGCTGAGTTTGATTTTAAGTCTGGTTGTGTTTTTAGACACAGCTAAAGTAAGAAGTTCAACATTCCTATTCAAGCCCCAATATGTATTAATACGACATTTGGCAGGGCAATGAAGCATCAGAGCTATCGAAAGAAGACAAATCTTCTTCGGAGGAAACCAGTGAAGATTCGAATGAGTACCGTCGCAAGCGGTCATTAGAGGTTACCAGTGGAGAAAATAACAATAATGATGGCGAGAGAAAGTTAATGGGAAGAGCTGGTATACCGGGATTACCTGATCCGACAACAATTCTAAAGATTGTAGAAATTCTCCAAACGTTGGGTAAAAAAGTCGTGCCGATTCTTGTTGAAGGTAATTCCATGGCAAATTTAGTGGCTGAGAGAGTGGGAATAAGCTATGGAGCATAATCATAGTCAAGAAAATGTAGGCTCTTACTGTCTTACAATCTATAGATTAAGGGCCAATTTCAGATGAATATTTAAACGGCACTTAAGTTTAATTTTGGATTGTTATTTAAATGGAATAAGCCTTCGTTGGGTTTCATATCAACCTCAAGTATCTTTTAAAATTTATCTGTCCCTCAAAAACATTTTTTTTTAGAACAAAATTTGTGTTTAAAGGGCAGATTAATTTTAAAACGTACATGAAAAAAGTGTCCTAAGTTTATCATATACATTGTTTATACCTACGTAAGAACCGCATTAACGAAAAAACCCATTTGATTCGACATATGTATATTTCTTTCAAGCATTTATACCACTGTCTTTATAGCGCACTCCATGAAGCCGTATTCAAAAGTAAAAAACATCTGCTATTTTTATACATTTCTTTAATATTTAATTTACACGGTTGACCGAAAGAAAGCAAACAATAATTCGAATTTATTATAACAACTAGCAATTACCCGGCGTGCTTCGCTGCGCCTTAAATGTATTTTTGTGTTGTAACTCTCCCCCTAAGCTCTTATGGCCTCATTTACAAAATATTTTTAAAGAA